GGATAAGAATAAAATATTCCATGAAGCTCAACACGGGTTCTGTGAAGCCAGGCCATGCACATCTAATATCCTCATAGCTTGGGACAATTGAACATACTGCTTGGACCGAAAAATACCGATGCACGTAATAATTCTCGACCTTGTAAAAGCCTTCAACAAAGGAACCCACTCACACATAATCGCAGGGGTTGCAGAAATGGGCTTCATTGATCTACTCGCATCTTGACTCAGAAACTACCTTGTGAAAAGAAAATTTCGTATCAAGGTAACTAGAGTGCACGCGAGGTGGTGTGCGTCCACATAGAAAGTTTCACAGAAGACATTCATAGGTCCACTTTTCTTCCTGATATTTATTAACGACCTGTTAAGCGCAGTCAGCTCATTGCCGTTGATGTACGTAGACGAAGTGAAGATCTGTACGTCCATTAGAAGCGAAGAGGATTCAAATGAGCTTCAGAAGGACCTTACATCCATTGAGGAATGGGAAGTGGAAATGGTTTAAAGCTCAACCAACTGCAGTGTCACGTTATGTATATTCTGTCCCACATGACATACACGATTTACACCCTCGATGAAAGTCCGCTCCCTAATGTCTCCTCAGAACGCGATATCGGTTTAATAACCACACAAAGCCTCCACACGAGTCCGAACTATGTGGGGGACGCAGCCAAGGCAAATGCGGCTCTTCACTTCGTGCGAGGACAATTTGGTGCTATCACTCCAAAGTTATTCTTACCGTTAATTAAGACACACGCGCTCCCGCACCTGGAGGTTTACAATGTCATCGCACCCCCTCTGCTTAAAAGAGACATAAATCTCTTGGATCGAGTGCAGAGACAAGCAACCAAATGGGTGATAGTGTTGAAAAATAAGCCCAACGACGATAGACTCCAGCTCTCTGGATTATTTCCAATGGGCTACAGGAGAATCAGAGGCGATCTGATTATGGCGTACACCATATTAAACACGCCAAACCATCCCAATGTGAGCATCTTACTGATGCATCACCACCACTCCCCTCGAGGCAATCCTCGAAAGATTGCACATCAAAGAGCCAATACTCAGATTCGTGCACACTTTTTCTCATCGCGAGTCGTCGCAACTTGGAATGCTCTCCCAGCCGAGGTAATTACAGCCCCCTCAGTGGACTGCTTTAAGAAGAGACTTGATAACCACGTACTCACATACGGACTATCATCTCCCTCTTGGACAAGTTGTGCCTGATGCATGTCTTGAGACCTGCTAGTTGTTATCATTGCCATCTACTCAGGTCACTCAATTAATCTATCTCGCCTATTAACTCTGTTTCCTCTCCCTTGCTTACACTTCGGTCCTCCTGAACAATCTTCTCTACCGATTAACAAACTAAATTATCTATTTATTTACTTAGTTCTGAAATCATTTTCATACTGTCATTAGAATTTCATCCTTATTATTCTCCATATTGCAACTAACTGATCTCCGGTCTGGTAATGTGATAGTTGCTAGTATCCAGAAACCCTACTGCTCTGAAACAAACGTTTTCATTCAAATCCCGAGACATACAAACTCACAATCAAATGCCAACTGACTAGAATTAGACAGTCGAGTGGCTAGACCGACATTCATTGAAAACTACCGAACACCTGGAACCGTACCGAAAGAACAAGAATCGAGCGCAAAGAAATCAATTATTTATACCAGCTAATGAAAAGGTATGTGATATTGGATATTGATCCAAGACGTTTTCTATCCCTATTACTTCATTTACCCAGACCCACACCTGAAAGCATTTGTGGCCCACTGATTCCGAATACGGAAGTCCGCTGACTGAAACTTTTCACAGTCCATGTACAATCAGTTGAAACTAGTCGAAGCATAATTGGTTATGGTACACTGAGCGCTATGCATTGAGTCAAGGTCGATTTGCGGCTGTTCTAAATGTTTCGGGACATAGTTTCCTAACTATCCACATAAGAAGTGATTTGATTTGCTTTCTCCAGTAAGTATTTAGTAGTATTCATATAAGAACTGCTTCTAACATGCTAAATGAGTGATATGGTGGCACTAAACTAAACTATTCCCGAAACACCTTACATAGGCCTTATGGGACGTAGGTCCACATAATGTCTTCGTTTTTAAACACTTAATTGTCTACGGATTGTCTAAGGTTTCATTTAGTGACAAAAACAGAGTCTTCACCATTTCCCAAAAGGCTTTTGAGTGTGTTGTTTGCTTAGGTCACCAGAGCATGTTCATTCAGTACTGAGAACTACCCTTTCCTTTTTGGTCTGATCCATGTGATAATTTAATTGCCTAACGTATTCCTTGTGGTTCAGATTTTCACTATGTACTTGTAGTTCTTAAATCTAATCTAGCCGATGATCGTTTAAGCGTCATTAAGTGGCCAGCATATCTCTGTAAATACAGATCTTGTATAGATGTGTGGTCATAACACCACGCCCATGAACTGATTTTTTTAAACCATTTTGTCACCCCCACTCAATTAAGTTAGATTTGGAAAACCTTATAAACTTGGTACGACAGGTGACTTTCGGTTCAAGTTGGGTACTAAGAGTTGTGCCGAGTATGTCAGTCAGTTGCAACGCAGAACTTCGTACGTAAGTACATCAGTTCAGGTTGCCATACCACATCAGCACAGAGACGCAACTGTCAGTTCAAATCCAAGAGTGATAGCGATAGTAGAAGTATTAGCAGTAATGGAGAAGATTAGGGAGCGAAGATATGATTCGAGAAGTATAATTCAGTGAGATAAATTTAGAAGGAGAAAGATGGAGATTATGAGGAATTCAGAAGGTTAAAATTAGAGAGAACACAAAGAATGGATGCACCTGCGCCATTGCAAACGATTTTGAGCCATGTAGTTCAAGGTCTCTAACCATTGGTGACTTTCGTCTCGCGAACCACAACCAGGTAGATAGTCTAGATCTACCAACATCACTCAGTCCACTTGTCAGTGGCTTCATGGGTTTCTGCCATGTTTTGGTTTGGCCGCCCCTAACTTTCTTCCAGCCTACTCCTTCCTACACCACAAAATATAGTTCGTCGCGGCAGTCAGTGATTAGGCAAACGTAACACATGTCCCAACCACATCAACTGATGAAGTTTCAATACTTCATCTATTGATCTGCCATCCTTACCTAGCACCCGTTTCCTAACGACAGCATTGCTTACTCGGTTGTCCCACGGTATACGAGCAATGTTTCTTAAACATCTAAGATCGAATACTAATAACCTACGAACATCTACTCATAATGGCTGTGAAACATGGCCGTTAAGAGTAGATGTTCGTAGGTTATTAGTATTCGATCTTAGATGTTTAAGAAACATTGCTCGTATACCGTGGGACAACCGAGTAAGCAATGGCCTTATAATATCACATTTTAATCATGAATAAACTATGAGACATAAATTATAACTCCAGTTTAAGTTGAAGCGACAGACTATTTAATTGTCCTTAGTTTTGCTGATATGATTGCTCATTGCTCTACACTCAGGTCCGGCACCAAGCCAGTAAATTGGTTTATATGGTCCACAGGAACGTGTTAAATTCAGTTAGGAAAGTGAGATGTTTCTGTTAACTGAAATTTATTTATGGGCTACTGTCACTTGGCAGCAAACCCATCAGTAATGTGTTGCCCGACATCTCCCTAATGACACGCATTTATGGCATAGATCACACGTCGGTCAGTCAGTCAGTCAGCTACAACGTAAATCTTCGTATGTACTTCAGTTCGAGTTGCCATGCCATATCAGCACAGAAGTACAATGATCAATTCTAATCCCAGTGGTAAAGGTAGTAGAAAAGTAAGCAGTAGTCGGAAAGATCACGGTCCGAAAATATTATTCAGGAAGTGTAATCTAGTGAAATAGATTTGAGGCGAGAAAGATGAAGGTCATGATGAATACAGAAGATTAGAACCTGAAGAAAGACAAAGAATAGATGCATCAGCGCAATCCTAAACCATTTTGCGCCATACCATTCAAAGTCTCTAACAATCGGTTACGATTGTTTCGCGAACCCCAACCACGTAGTCTAGGCCTACTAATGTGTTTCCCCCGGACAACCAGCATTTGCAGCAATGCTGCCTTCTCACAAGGAAGAAAGCGGTTAGAAAAGGTCTATTCTAAGAATGTAACACCTAACCTTACCTCACGGATTTCCGTCTCCAGCGGCAAGGACTTTGAAACAGGAACGGAGCTAACACTAAACACCATCCATAAGAAGGCTGTGTGTGACCGGCCTCAAGCAGTCGTCCTTTGGACTCTGAAGTCACGCTCCCAGGTCGTTAAGACCAAAACTAACCTAACTTCCTTTTCAGGTTCCTCATGAAATACCCTTCCACGGCATAGGCTGCTGGGAAGTGACATCCGCCCTCATACCCATAATAGCACACGAGATCGAATTGGTCACAATCAAGTCCTTCCTACACCCCCCCCAACATCTTCTTTATCTTCACGACTAGACAGACAGACAGATACAACGCAGAGCTTCGTACGTAAGTACATCAGTTCAGGTTGCCATACCACATCAGCACACAGACGCAACTGTCAGTTCAAATCCAAGAGTGATAGCGATAGTAGAAGTATTAGCAGTAATGGAGAAGATTAGGGAGCGAAGATATGATTCGAGAAGTATAATTCAGTGAGATAAATTTAGAAGGAGAAAGATAGAGATTATGAGGAGTTCAGAAGGTTAAAATTAGAGAGGACACAAAGAATGGATGCACTTGCGCCATTGCAAACGACTTTGAGCTATTTCGTTCAAGGTCTCTAACCACCGGTGACTTTCGTCTCGCGAACCCCAACCAGGTAGCCTACATCTAACAACATGACTCAGTCCATTTGTCAGTAACTTAATGGATTTGTGCCATGTTTTGGTTTGGCCGCCCCTAATTTTATTCCAACCTATTCCTACACCACAAAACATAGCTCATCGAAGCAGCCGGTATTTGGACATACGTAACACATGTCCCAACCACCTCAATTGACGAAGTTTCACTACTTCATTTATTGATCTGCCATCCTTACCTAGCACCCGTTTCCTAACGACAGCATTGCTTACTCGGTTGTCTCATGGTATACGAGCAGTGCTTCGGAGACACCTATACTCGAATACTAATAACCTATGGATGTCTTCTACTCTCAACGGCCATGTTTTGCAGCCATAAAGTAGGACAGAGCGAGCTGCCGCACAGTACACTAGTCCTTTGGCCAGCAAACGGATATCTCGCTTGCGATATAAGTGGTGCAAGTTGGCAAAAGCCAATCAAGACTTCTGTATCCGTGCTGAGATTTCGTCAGTCACCAGGCTATCAGCACTGATGAGCCTCCCCAGATAAGTGATGTGATCAACACGCTCGACTACTTTACTCCCTACCACTAGTTCAGGTGCCGATGCAACCTAATCTTGAGGCGACACTTTGCATTTTGAGGGGGAAAGCCGCATCCCGAACATGCTTGCATTGTTGCTATGGTAGTCACAAGACTGCATTTTATTAGCGTCTTCACCGAATAAGACTATGTCATGAGCATATTCTACGTCAGCATGCGTGGCTCCTGGTAAAAGATCAACTCCTGAAGAGTCAGACGATGATAATGTTAACTCTAGAAGCATATCTACGACAAAGTTAAACAAAAATGAAGAGAGTGGACATCTTTGACGGACACCACCTGAAGCGATCAATTCCGATGACAGTTCGCCATAAGACTTCACTCGACCTTCAGTGTTCGAGTAGAGAGCTTGTATAAGGTTAATTTACTTCTTTGGTACACCTTTCAATGATAGACACTGTCACAGAACCTCACGATCCACAGAGTCAAATGCCGCTCTTAGGTCCAGGAAGACAACTATTGTAGGACGCCTAAATGTATCTGTGTTCCAGGACCCTTCGCAGTGTAAATATTTAGTCTCTACATCCACGTCCTGGACTGAAACCAGCCTGGTTTTCCCTAGTCTGCTCTTCATGAGCTCTAGTTAGGCGTCTAAGGATTATCGAGGCTAACAATTTAGACACTATATTAGTTAGGCTGATTCCCCTGTGATTGTTACAAGAGGACTTTTTTCATGTCTTGTAGACTGGGACAATCAGGGATTGAGACCAGTTGGGTGGGATTACGTTCAGTTTCCAGATTCTACGTAAGATCTCAGTCAATCTTACTGCTAAAGCTGAACCACCATCCTTAAAAATGTCAGGAGTCAATCTATCAGGATTTGCTTCTCTACCTCGCTTCAGATTTCCCATAGATTTTTCAATTCCATTAAGATTTGGAGGACTTACATTGATTTGCCATCTAGGTTGAGTGGAGATTGTGTGAAACCGAAGTGTGGGGCTGAAGGCCAGTTGGACTGATCCTTAGAATTTTCTGCCTATCGATCCAATCTCCTGGATTGAGAATGAATAATAAGTTCATCCTTTTCCGAAATATTTTTACTCACATTCAGGTTCCTAGTACCGGTTTCCTTGATGAGTCTGAATAGTTGCCTACTGTTGCCTATCACCGCTGCCTTTTCCGTAGCTCTCGCTTTCTCTACCCACTACTGTTCACAATCATTGGGTAGGCTTTTTATTAGCCTGGGCTTAAGCTGACTCCGCTCCTCATAGCACTCAGAGCCAGACGGAATGAGTTTCCGAGCATCTATCAGTTCGGTAGATGCTACTGAAACCCACCGCTTCTTCCTAACCTTATGGTTTACCTTACTAGCATATATCACTGCTGTTTCCACAGCTTTTTTGTTATCATTTCAAGCTGTCTCGGGATGGAAATCACTTACTTCGTGGCTGCCTAACACTTTAGAGATAAGTTCAGTTGACCTTCATCCACATTTCGGTTAGCCACGATCTCCGAAACATTGCTCGTGTATCATGGAACAACCGAGTAAGTAATGCTGTCGTTAGAAAACGGGTGCTAGGTATGGATGACACATCCATAGATGAAGTATTGAAACTTCATCAGTTGAGGTTGTTGGGACATGTGTTACGTATGCCTAACCACCGTCTGTTTCTTCGAGCTATGTTTTGCGATGTAGGAGTGGGTTGGAAGAAAGCTAGGAGCGGCCAAACCGAAACATGGCAGAAATCCATTAGGTCACTGACAGGTAGACTGAGCCATGTGTTGACTACCTGATTGGGGTCCGCGAGATCATAATCGATGGTTAGAGACCCTGAATGACATAGGTCAAAGTCGTTTGCAATGGCGCAGGTGCTTCCACTCATTATGTTCTCTCAAATTCTAACCTTCTGAATTCTTGATCATTTTACCTTTATCTTTTTAAGTTTATTTCACTAGATTCTACTTCTTGAATAATCCAAATCTCTCCGATCATTGCTAATACGTTTACCACCTCTACTACTATGTGATTTGAATTGAAAACTATCTCTGTGCTAATGTGGTATGGCAACTTGAACTGATGTACGTATGTACGTACAAAGTTTTAAGTTGCTGTTGATTGATAAATTGTTTGCTGAGAAGCTTGTTGTCGTATTTGGCACAAGCTCCTGACATTAAAAGCTGTTACCTATAGTTTAGTGTTGGGTTTCAGGAGACCAGAAATAACGTTTCGCGTGGTTGACTCATTTGCATCACCTGCCTCGGGTGATAAAGTAGTTTGAGGTTCGATCATAGTGGTAAGAGAGTTATTAGGAAATACACGAAGGATTTAATCGTGAACGATTTGGTCCCTCTGATGTTACTGTTATGAGTGCGGATGTCACTTCACGTCTTCCCACGCTGGGAACGTGTGGTTCTTGAGGAACATAGAATGGAAATATGATCAGTGTTGGTCGTAGCGAACTTGGAGCGTGACTCCAGAACCTAAAAAACAACTGCTTGTGACAAGTCACACAAGATATTTTTATGGGATGATTGTGAATAGTTAGCTCCGCTTTTAAAGTATCTTTTCCACTGGAGACGGAAATCCGTAGAGCAAAGTGAGGTGTGACATTTTTAGGACCGACATTTTTCAAGCCCTTCTCTCCTTGCAGAAAGACAGCACTGCTGTGGATACTGGATGTCCGAGGGGAACACGTTACTGCTGTCACGCATCTCTACAGTCATAAGTACGACTTCGCTCTCACACCTTAAGTTTCTGTTTTTAGTCATATGGCTCTCCAATCGACCTGCTCGGCATGGTAGGACCTAAAAGAAATTTTGTTACAGCCAATGTAGCTCGGTTGGGTCATCACGACAGGCAAACCCGACCACCACACCAAAGTAGCACCTGCAGTTGGTTGACCACACGTCAGTCAGTCACCGATGACGTGTGTCTGATTGCCTCTGTTCTTAGGATGCTGTTTTTTTATTCAGAATCTCCCTTAGCATTTACGAGACTCATCTTTTAATGTGTCGTTGGTGTCATCAAACTATAATAAATGTTCAAACTAAACGATGTGACTAAATAAATTTCAAGTCACTATTCTATCTTTCGAGTTGTTTAAAAAAAGAATGTTGCTTACAGTTACGTAATATAACAAAATTTGTAGTTCTGTAGCAGCTCCATAAGGCCCTTCGGTTATGGGTATGGGGATTTTATTACTCCATTAAGATTTGACACGCATAAATATTTTATTTCAAGTGGTTTTAAAGTGAAATCCTTGTACTGAATTCGTTGAATGTTATAAACTTGAACTTTTGGTTTGTAGTTTATTTTGCTCTTGATGACACGTAGATTTCCTCAAATATCACTGCGCTTTATTGATTTTCTGTATGTGAACTTTAGTTGGCATTACCGTCAACTACTCTGCTCGCAGCCAGTCGATCACATGAATTTTGAAGAAAGTTTACAATCAAGAAATGACTTCAACTCTAAAATCAAATAAAGATTCCTCAGCTATTCATTCAGATGAGGGTAATTTTCTTGTTTTTGTTGTTTTCAGTCTAATTTGCTATAGTTTACATAGTTTTGTATAAAAACCTGCTAATATTTCTGATTAACACATTTTGTCCTTCCAAAGAATTTCTAATACATACAGAGAGGATTCGTTAATAAGTTTAACTCATGTTTATATCATCTGGTTGAGTTTACTTTTGATATGTCCTCGGTTTTCTTGATGTTTCCTTCCACCTGCATTTATCGTAAGGCTTGGATTCTGTTAGTGGGACATGGATTCAAAGCATGATTACGTCACTACGCGCTGATTGGCTAATTTCCTATCCAATCAGCGCCTGATCGAAGCTTGGAGAACAGGATAGAAAATTCTCGTCTTATTAGCTGCATGCTGATTGGTCAAATCCAGTCCAGTCGATCACGTGAATTTTGTTCCAGAAGTTTTCTCATGTAAAGGCTATAAATAGACTAGCATTGTATTTATCTTGGCCTTCTAGCCTTCTTAGCCTCCTTCGCTTTCAAGCCTTTTTGCCTTGGCTTTCGCCAACACCTCCAGCTTCTTTTCCTTGCTATTCTGGAAAACAATCCTTCCTGTTCAACCGTGTTTTGATTTGTGTTACTTGTCCAGTGTTTTGTGTCAAGAATACTAAGCAATAAGATTTAGCCGGGAAATATCGTAAGTAACCGTTACAACAGATTCTTACTCAGTTTGGCCTTAGGAACTGTCCTACTTTGCTTTATGTCATCCTTTGCAAAATCTCGATCTTGACTACTTTTATCAGCTTACCATCTTGAGTTTTTAGGTTGATACTTGACTGCAAAATCCTACCAGTAATGAAAAACCCCTAGACTTCTAAATAATTAACCACTACTCGTTTCTTGAAATCACGACTGATACTTATATGATTATAAATCTCAAAACATCAGCATGATTGCTTATCATTCTGGTTTCCTGCATTCACTTAAAATATTTCTATAAAAATACAGGATGAGCGAAGAAATATTTCTTTTCAATTAGTTTTTCATTAAAGCTCTATACTAATATATGTTTTACAAATTAGTAGAAGTCAATACCCCCTCCCCCAAATTGCCTGATAAGGTCGGGCGTAGTGAGAGTCCGCTTCCTCTCTCCAAATGTTCTCTTAAGACCACTTCAGCATTTAAAATTACTTATAATATCCCTCCAAATTTACCCTATGGTTCTAGAATCCGACTTTTACATATCACAGAAGTCACTGGGATACATATTAATAAACCAAAACTTTGTAAACAAAAAGTTTGTGAAGCTTCTTAGTCTACTCCGACCTATTACATAGATACCATTATATGCTTCAAAACCTTTTTTCCCCTTTGAACTTTTATGGGCTTCCATTTTGCTAACATTTCAATCTCCAATCCTTATCTTACGTAGCGTCCATTTTTAGTGATTTCATGCATAAAAACACTCATATTTGCATCCGATTTCAATTCGTGTTCCTACTGTTATGTAACTATTCATAATAATAATCAACTGATTATATAAATTCATTTTAGTGTTGATTTTAAACTTAAGTTATGTAACTAACTGATCATTATACTTTTAAGTCGTTATATCATCATCTAATTGGTATTGACTTTTATCCATTTGTAAAACATATATTAATGTAAAGTTTTGATGATAAACTAATTGAAAAGAAATATTTCTTCGATCTTTTTGTCTTCCTTATGTCTCAGTATGAACATTCCTATAAATCTCTCCCTAGTTTCAGCTTATTATAATGTTTATCTCGTGCGGATATTCACCTGCGCTTGTGTCGTTAATTTTGAGCTGACTATATGCACAGAAAAATGTATGATTTATGCGATGAATGGATCGGATTCTCCATAGTATTTTACTTGCCGTGTCGTAACTTAATTTTGACTTCACAAGCTACTGTACTTTTGGCTGAATGACTTGAAAAATTCGGTAGTTTTTTCGAAGTTTAGATTTTTATAAGTTTCTAAAACAGGCCGAATGCTTAATAAAGATTAAAAATGTGGAGATGTTACTGATTTACCATGCATGGTTGTTTTGTACTTGGTTTTGAGCCACACTGTTTGTGTGAAACTTAATGATTCTACTCAAATCCTCAAACTAACGTAGCTGAAAAGCGTTTGCATCTGCTATCTATTGGTTGAAAGTCGAATACCTCAACTTCTAAGAGACCACTGAAATGTCAACACTATAAGTTAGGGTGGTGCATCATATCTGTAACAAAATGTGTTACTTTTATAAGGATTTTATGGTTCATCTGGTGAATATTTCTCTATCACTGAACAATTGAATGTGGCAACTTGAACCGATGTACACATGTACAAGGTTTTACATTGCGTTATACTGACTTCATAATGTTTCAGTTGTCAGATCACTTTATACATAACTAGGTTTTCATACTAGCCTCTTAGTTCTTTAATTATTGTAAATGCTTAATCGATTAAAGCAACTTGACTTAAGTGTAGATTCTGTGCATTTGTTCTGTTTTGTCATATTTTTGTAGGCGATTATGTTGATGTTGCTGCTGAAATGTCGAGAGAAATCGAAACAGCTAATGTGGTTGTAAATAGCTTGACTGACTTCACCCCTGTATTAGGGGATGAAATTTCATCTCCTGGAATATCATCTGTAAATGATTATGGCAGTTTTGATCACTTACCTATTACTTTACAGAAAGGTGTGTGCGAACTTGTGTACATATATCCATCAACATTTTAGTTATCCAAACAATATAATATAGTACGAAGCCAATTCTTGGAAATAGTGAAAATCATTATACTGGAACAGACAGATCTTATCCATATAAACCTATGTGAATTTCTCTTATTGCTCAGATCATTTTACAAATAGGGTAATAGGTCTTCATTGTAACTTACAAAAAGGCATTTATACCCATGTGTTTAAGAAATACCCACTTTGAACTATTATTTTCATTCAGTATTAAAATAGTCATTTTTAGACATTACCTTTAATTAATACGAAAAACGAAACTAAACGAGACCAACATGTTTACACATTTAATTTCGAGCCGTCCCCATATATATTTAACAAATTTTAGACTCAGCCAAAATGCTCTAATTCTTTTAGAGTTATTTTGACTTTTCGGCAGTGATTATGAATTTTGATTTTCATGAAGGAGAAAAGGTGTTGTTTAAACGATAAATAGAGTCTCGCACAACGTACTAATATTATTTAATTTGAAATGCTTTGGATTATCCAGTCGTTGATATTTTGATTAAAATTTGATTAATCTTTGTTGGCATATGGCTATCCTATCCGGATTGCCTCGGTATAGCCATTATGACACAAGTTGATATAGAATGGATAGAATATGGCTAGAAGTAGAATCCAAGACTCACACTTCGTCCTATTCCAGTCAAAATAGCAACAACAGGATAATCAAAAGCATTTCAAATTGAATTAAATCTCATAACCTTTGCACAAGTGAGTGGCTATCTGAACTCAGTAGCAAAGTGCATAGCGCAGTGGCATTTGATGTGGACGGTACTGGGTTCGAGTCCCAGAGTGAACACCAACTCTGGGATGTAGGCAAACTTAGCCGACAAGTCCAAAATAGGACGAGACGCACGTCCTGGATTCCACTGTTATCCACATTATATCCATTCTATGTAATACTGTCATATGTGCCATGGTTGTATATGAATAGCGGTTGCCGATAGTCAAGTATTCATTGAAACCGATTGGACGCTTTCTTATGATTCCTTACCGTTCAAACCTATCAGCTCCTGTTCTATTGTAATGCACGAAAAAGTAATCATCCCGAGTATCATAACTAACCCAATTTACCAAACAGACAGATTGCGAATCAGTGAAGGATTTGGTGTAATTTTCGTACACGGATAAAATATCATAACAGAAATGAACTAGTTTTGTTCATTTCTGGTGAAAAGATAGCGGCAATACGTAACACTAGAAAACTATTCAGGCTTATCAAGGAAACTGGTATTAGAAATCCAACTGTTAGCGAGACTATCTCGCAAAAAGATGGGCCTTTTACTCATTCTCAATCCATGAGGTTGGTTCAGTGGTCAGAAAATTCTAAGGATCAGTTCAACTGGTCTTCAGCCACACTTCGGTTAATCATGATCTCCAGTCAACTTGAGTGGTAAGTTCATGTAAGTCCTCCGACCCTGAATAAGGTTGAAAAGGCTGTGGGAAATCTAAAGTGAGAGGGAGCAGCAGCTCCTCGTAGATTAACATCTGGGACTCTTACAGATGGTGGTACAGTTTTAGCAGTTAGATTGACTGGAATCTTACGTAGAATCCGGTAACTGAACGTGATCCCATTTGGCTGGTCACAATCGTTGATGGTTTCAGTCAATAAAAATAGACAAATTACTCTTGTGACAATCACAGAGGAATCAGTTTAACCAATATAGTGTCTAAAATATTAGCTCCAACAATACTTCAAAGCCTAACTAGAGCTCGTGAAGAGCAGACTAGAGAAAACTAGGCTGGGTTCAGACCTGGATGTGGATGTATAGATCATATATTCACACTACGACAGGTCCTGGAACACAGACACACATATAGTCTTCCGACATAGGTTGTCTCCTGGACTTCGAAGCGGCATTTGACACTGTTGATCGTGAGGTTTTATGCTAGTGTCTGTCATTAAAAGATGTACCAGAAAACTATATTAACCTTTTACAGCTCTCCACTCGAACACTGCAGGTCGATTCAGGTCTTATGGAGAACTGTCATCGGAATTGGTTACTTCAAGTGGTATCCGTCAGGGATGTCAGCTTTCCCCGTTCATGTTTAATTTTGTCATGGACATGCTCCCTGAAATAACATTGTCATCGTCTGAATTTTCAGGAGTTGACCTTTCAAGAGATTCAGTTGTTTACTTAGAAAATGACGATGACAGTTGTACTTGATGAAGACGCTGAAGAATTTCAGTGTCTCCTGAATACCCTAAGCAACAATGCAAGCATGTTCGGGATGTGGTTCTCCCCGTCGAAATGCAAAATGTTGCTTCAAGATTGGCTTGCGTCGGTACCTGAACTAGTGATAGGGAGTGAAGCAGTTGAGCGTGTTGACCGCTTCAATTATCTCTGGAGTCTCATCAGTGCTGATGGCCTGGTGACTGACGAAATCTCAGCACGGACACAGAAGGCTCGGTTGGCTTTTGCCAACTTGCACCACTTATGGTGTAGGCGAGATATCCGTTTGCTGACCAAAGTACGAGTGTCCTCGACGAGGCAGTCGGTGGTTAGGCATACGTAACACTTGTCCCAACCATCGCAACTTATGAAGTTTCACAACTTTATCTATTGGTTTGCCATGCCTACCTATAACTCGTTTCCTAACGACAGCATTGCTTATACGGTTGTCCCAGGATATACGAGCAATGCTTCGGAGACTCATGATTGAAGACAAGCAATTTACGAATGTTCTCTACTCTCACGGGCCATGTTTCGCATCCGTATATTAGGATAGTGCCAACAACTGCGCAGTACACTCGTACTTTGGTCAGCAAACGGATATCTCGCCTACACCATAAGTGGTGCAAGTTGGCAAAAGCCAACCGAGCCTTCTGTATCCGTGCTGAGAATTCGTCAGTCACCAGGCCATCAGTCCTTACTGTCCCGTTCAGTCGGACAGCGCACAAGCGACTATCTACTGGAATCCTGTCTAGTAGAATTAGTTCTGCCCTACGACTCAATGCCAGCGAGACCCTGGGAAGCAGCCTCAAGGCTACTGGATACTCGAAGGGTAAATCGAGCTGCTTCTTTATCTTGATATGGTGAGGTCAAGTGAATGATGCTACCCGGATCCTGTATGCGCGTTTCCGAGACGCAGCACACATCGATGTTGTGAGATTCTAAAGTACCAGCTGAGGAAGCCTGTTGGCCTACTTGACACGATGTTCGTACATTAAATGCTCCAACATGTAGTTTTTTGAGTATTAGCTCGGCTCTTTTTAAAAACCCTTATTGGGCAGCCCTTTCGGCCGGAGACGGAAATCTGTGAGGTAGGGTGAGGTATGTCATTTGTACGATTAAGAAAATCATTAAGTCCTCCGTCTACGAAGTTCACATTTTATCAAGACCAGTGTTTAAAATTTGTTAATTATCTACAATTTGGATTCATTTTTATTTGATAACAATGATGGTATTTTTTATTTGCATAGAAATGCCTCATAACATTATAGTACTTTTCTGGTTCTTGATTTTTCAAATTCAGTACAAATTATATTACAAGCATAATATATATATGTTTTTATGAATATGATTTTTTTTCTAACAGACTCACCAACTTGTTTGGCTGGACAACAGAACTTCACATCGAGTTGTTTTGGTAGGAGTCAGCCGTTAACTGACGTTTTGGTTGGTGTTTCGAATTCATACTTAACTAACGGAAAGAAATTAAAATCATCCGGTAATAATCCAGAAGTATTTCTGAGTAGTTCACTTCCAAATCTGTTTGAAGGTGAGTTATCGTTTAGCTTCCGAAACGAAAAAGTCACTTATACCCAAGTGACTAACCTATATACTTTTCGTCTCAATTACTACGTCACTTTATCTGACTTTACGGGAGTACAGTAAATTTGTCCACTTTCTCTCCTTCCTATATCTGTTTATTTGAAATTTCATGACTTAAACAGGTATTTGTTTGATTTGTACACGAAACTAAATCATCCGTCTATTCGCTGATACATCAAACTTCGTATAACATACTGCTTTACTGAAGCAACATATTTTGAGTGCACTTTTCATAGTTTACATCACAGACTGATCTTAGTTCGACAACCATTCAATATCCGGAAACAATAGATATTTGTTTCGCTGTGATTTGAAACTCCTTAGAATTACACACCATTACCTCATGGAGGGGGTCAAATTCAGAACGTTTAGGCCTGACGACGGGTTAATAACATTTAGACAACTGAACTGACATCCAACAATGTACCTGTTTGGCTTCAATCAGTCTGTGATATTGCATAACCATCTTCCATTACTTTTTGTGTGTAACCACTTCACAGGGTCATAACAGTTGCGAACTATTTATAGTTTGAAATGCACGCTGTTGAATGTAGGTTCAGTTATCTAAATATTATGCACACTTCTTCAGACCTAAAGGTCTTGAATTTGACCCCCCCCCATGGTGTCATGGGTGTATGCTTCTGAGGAGTTCGAAATCAGGACGAAACAAATGTCTGTTGCTTTCAAATTTTTGGTGATTGTTGAACTAAGGCCAGCCCGTGACTCTCCCGTCCATTTGTTTTCAAGTGCTCTATGTAGTCTTGATTTCTGCGTCCGGTTCCCGCCTCCTTTTGTCCTATGGTTTTCCTGTTTTTCTTTCGCCTTGAGAATTCCGAATTTGAGCTTGTCTTGGAATTCAGTTTAATGGTTTCCTCAGTATCGTATCCACCTCTATTGGCCCTTCCTAATTTATTCCTCATTTGAAAGTTGTTGTGTTATCTGCCACAGTCGTTTATTGCTAATGGTATCTGGTCAATGGATTTGGAGTATCATTCATAGACAGCTGTTTACAAATATGTCTGCTCTTTTGGTATTGGTGGGTGTTGCTCACATTTTAGCTCCATGCTATAGAACTGTTTTAACGTCAACATTATAAATTCTAACTCCGATCTTGGCTGGCAGTTATTTTGAGTTCCAGATATTCTTCAGTCGTAGGAATGTCACCCTTGCTCTGTCACTTCTCGCCTTCATATCTCTGTTAGGTCAATGACATTACCAAGGTACGTAAAACCTCCCACCTCTTTCAGAGTTTCTCTGTCAAGTTAAATTTGGTTGGCATTGACTTTATTTTACCTAGCGATCTTGCTTCTTTCTTTTCAGAGGCCACTGCCACACTGTCCATATAAATAGCATAGTGATCACCTGCTAACTACAAGTCATCCAGGTGCCTGCTTGGTGCTCACTGTATTCTGTGCTTCTCCTGAAGTATGTGGGTTCTTATAATCCAGTTAAAAGCTAGCAAAAAAGGTCGATATGAGAGTGAACTGCCATATATGGAACCAGCATTCTCTTTGAATGAATCTGTGAGCTACCCTCTGTGCATAATTTTGCGATTCAGTCCCCCTTAGTAGTTTTCCATGATGATAGTTTTTTTTCTGTTATTCCATATTGTCAAAGAATATTCCACAGCGTTCTCATATGCATATTCTTGAATGCTTTTCCATGATCAAGGAAATTGATGTTTAGTATTGAGTTCCACTCAATTGACTGTCCAGCAGCGATCCAAAGTGTCGCGATTTAGTCGGTATGTGATTGATTGTGACGAATTTTCTAAAGAAAATGTGAAGCATCTTTGCGGCTTTCTCCACTTCTAACTTCAGAGCTTCAGTTGATACGCTGTCTGGTCTTGCTAATTCCAGCTGCTGTTGGCTAAGTATCATCTACGAAGAAGTCTGTGTGTACTTTTTGGATATTCAGTTGGTTCATCGGTGCTCTAAAAAGTGTTTTATTCACCTATTCTGTTGCTTTTAATCTTTTGTGATTGGTTTACCTTCTTTGTTCCTGACTGATCGACCTGGTCTACTTAAAGCTTCTTAGTTTTATCTCATAGTTCATTCCCTTGCATTTTTGACGTAGTTTCTAGTTCTTCTATATATTTCTGCTCGTTAGCTCTACTGCTTTTCTTCACTTGTTTGCTTACTTTTGTACATTCGGCCTATACCTTAGCTTTCTCTGTTCTTGACTATTGTCTTCCTGAATTATACATAGGCTGTCTACATAGATCCATTCTTTATGCTTATGTTTCTTTGGGCTTAGGCCTCTTGTCATGTATAAGTTGTTGCTACTTCACTCACCAGATGCTCTGCACAGTGGTTTTCTCTTATAGTAGGTCTTGTAAGACTTGAAACTTGTTGCTAAGAGAGCGATGTTGAGCTCACTGAGCTTGTTAACGTATCAGAGGAAAGCTGTACAAAATTTTTGTAGTCTCCTTATTTGGCTGTTCAATGCTTTTTGAGCTTCAGTTTCAGCCTGGCCACTACTGAGCGGTGATCCAGAGCTATATTGGCTCGTCTCTTTGTCTCTACATCTTGTAAAGACCTTCCGAAGTGTTTTTCAATGCAGATGTGATCGATTTCGTTTTCTGTTGTGCGATCGGATGAAACCCATCTAGCTTTGTATATGCTGTTGTGTGGAGAATTCCTTCACCCATTACTGTATTGTTTAAACCACATACAATTTTTAGTCTCTCACCAGTTTTGTTCCTTTCCCTAGTTCATGTTTTCATATGATATCTTCATAACCGATGTTATACACTCCGACCTTGGTGTCTAGGTCCCCCACACTAGCGTCATCGGTTCATTTCGTAGGCTTTTCTTTTCGACTGACTTCAGCCTCTTATAAAATACTTCTTGATCATCTTCAATGCTGTCATTTTGGGTACATAGCGCTGAATGACATTCATTGTAATCCTCTTCTTTGTTCTTAAGGATGCTTTAATAGTCCTGAAGCCTTGAGGTTCTCACTTAATGAGCGATTTCTGTGCTTCTGTGGAGAGCATCAGTTTGAATCCTTGTGTGTGTGCCATTCTCCTCCTCATTACCAGAATATAACAGTACCTTTCCAAAAGCTAATCTTTTCTGTCTTTCTTGTCCAATAAATTTTAATTCGAATACAACAGGGTTATTTCTTTCTCTCTCTCTCTCCAGGTCTTTCATACTGTCTAGACATTCACTGTATCTATAATAATCATCGCCTCTCATTGTTATGTGTTACAAACAATGTTTACTGTTGATTCTTGTTGTCCCCACAAGCTTCACAAACCTGTACTGTATTTAAAATATAGATATACCACACCAATTGACCTGAGTATTATGAAATATTTCATGTTAATCTAAGTAATACTTACCGAATATCAATCGATTATATTTAGAGGTTGTTTCAAGTTTTTGAGGTTTATAATATGGTGATTTATTAATTAAATAATTGGAAATCAATCACACTAGCAGAAACATACCTTTCCTTTATTTTGTTCTAAGTGGCAAACATCATTTATCGTTTCGTGTCATTCTCTACGATGCTAATCTTTATTTTTTCCTCATATATCTCAATACTTTTGCTATTATTGTCATAAAAGTTTTTTAAATAATTGTTTTGCTTTCGTTGATTTCACCTTGCCATATCAGTCAGTCAGTGAGATGCAACGTAGAACTTTGTACGTAAGTACATCAGTTCATGTTGCCATACATTATCAGCACAGAGATATAATTGTCAATTCAAATCTAAAAGTAGAAGAGGTAGTAAAGGTATTAGGAGTAATCGGAGAGGTTAGGATTAGAAGATATTCAAGAAATATGATTCAGTGAGAAAAGTTTAGAAAGTCAAAACTAGAGTGTTGAAGAATTCAGAAGATTAGGATTTGAAAGAACATAAAGAATAAATGCACCGGCGCCATTGCAAACGGTTTTGAGCCATGTCATTCAGGGTCTCTAACCATCGCGGACCCCGAGCAGGTAGTCGACAACTACCGACATGACTCAGTCCACTTGTCAATGACTTCATGGATATCTGCCATGTTTTGGTTTGGCCGGCCTTAGCTTTCTTCCAACCTATTCCCACACTACAAAACAAAGCTCGTCGAGGCAGTCGGTGGTTAGTCATACGCAGCACATGTCACAACCACCTCAACTGATGAAGTTTCAGCACTTCATCTATTGATCTGTCATTCTTACCTAGCACCCGTTTCCTAATAACAGCGTTGCTCACTAGGGTGTCTCAGGATATACGAGCAATGCTTCGAAGACACCTATGGTCGAAAAACCTTGCCATATAATGTATTAAAGTGTAAAATTTTAAATCTATCAAATTTTGTACCAGTTTCTGCTCTACTGTTATATTTCCTGTTGTCAGATCAAAACACATAAAACATTATTATGTCCCCTTAATTCGTTGGTGTTTATTTGAATACGTGAAACTTCATTTGTTTTAATGCTTTTAGATTAATTTTCAATAGTTTGTATTTCATTTGTTATACCTCATAAAAAAATTATTTAAACTGTCATACAACTGCTAGAACGCATGTTTTATTTCAATTGAAATAACGTTTACAATCAATCTGTCCTGACTTTTACGAATTGTCTCCCTTACCTAGCATTCATATTTAAAAATATGTTTGAATTCATTGCATCCTATTCTTGTTTTAAATGTAATTCCCAAGAATAAACATTTTTAATAGCATTATTTTTTTTGAAAATGTCTTTATTGTTTTTCTGGTTATAACCTCAACTGATATTATTTTCTGAAATAGACAATGTTTACTAATTTTCACTCTACGTAGAAACGTAGTCTAGTCTGGGCTTCATTGATTTATTTCATGAAATATTTTTAACCTATGATATGGTACATTATTGTTTATTGAATTGCATCTATGTAACAACAGCCTAAAATCTGATATCTACAGACAGATGATAGTCAAATCCATATTGAAACATACTGAAAACTGATTTTCCTTTTGATGGTTTCATTTCGATATCATTCACATTGTTACTATGAATACTGAGACTTGAAAATAGTACTATAGTCTGCAATAGTTCTGATAAAGAATGTGTCGTATTACGTTTAAAAACATAGAGAATGGTTCTACAGTGTTATGTTCTAACAGTGTTTGTTTGACTATTGCTTTGAATAAATTCGCTGCATTTTTAACTGTTATATTTCCTGTCTTAAGGGTAAATACTTAACATCGAGAACCACTCTAATTTCCAGGACACTATGTAAGAACATGAGGGATTAGTGAGAGTTAAGATGAATTGACCTTCTTGGTAGCTCAAAAAGAAAATCCTGAGTCAAAACATGCAAATCAAAGCACGATGATAAATGAACAAACTAATTTCTATATGCCTCATTCTGATTAACAGTAAAACTTGTATAAATTGAACTGAATAATAGGTAACATTGATTAATTGATGGGTAATTTATTGAAAAAAAACAACAGATATATTGGATTAATTGCCTATAACCAACAGGTATCACTGTTATAATTACTCCTTAACATGTTAATCTCAGTCAAATTATATAAGTGTTTGCTTATCATATCATCAAGGTTTTTGACGAATGTAGTATATATTTTTACATTAAACTGAATTTATTCTTATTACTGCAGTTATAGTTCATATAGTTTTATTTCATTCTACTATTCATCTTATAGAATTTTAGCTTTTCTTTTTTTAATTGCTCACAGAGTCTTTGAACTTGAACTCAATTTCTAAATCTCTCCCTATTTTATGTCAAATCAATAATTATACTGTACATTCAGAGAATGAATTATCGGCACACATTGATAATGATACTAAAAGTATACCTGGTAGTTCACCAAAAACTAATCAATTCACCGAATCTAATTCAAATGAATGCTGTAATCTTTCTAATTCAACGAAATCATTAAATAATTTAAACACTCCTATAGATCATGATAATTTATCTGATTATCATCATCATCAATCTATCATTGAATCGAATAAATCACTTGATCATGCACCAAACACATCTAATAATACAGATGAATCAGAAAGTTATATCTATCATATTAAATGGATTAAATTTAATAATCAAACACGTCCAATTATAACACAAAATAATAATGGTCCATGTCCAATGATTGCTATTGCTAATGTACTTTTATTACGTGGAACAATTAATTTATCAAATGATAGTGAATTAATAAGTGGTAATCGTTTATTAGCTATGCTTAGTGAACTACTTTTATCAAAAGCTCCTAATGTAAGTTTTGGTGAATTTTTAAAAAGAAACACATTAGTTTTTCTTTAAGCTTGATTAATGAATAATAGTTTATTTTATGTGCTCTGGTCCCATATTATAAGTGCTTATATTAGACTAACTAAAATATTGAGATGTACAAATTTGTGCAACATTCTTAACACAAATGAATGAATCACATGTTAATATTAAGGTTGCAAATGTTTCATGAATATTAATACTTTTACGTCACACAGATAATATAAGTTTTTTTTTAGAACATATATTTCATGTTGCTAATACTGCTTTGCTTAGTTGAGTGAAGATTTCTGTTAAAAGCTAAACAGAATTCCAATCTACTACTTAAAATACTACTTACGAATATCACATCCATAAAATACCCAAATTGTGTTCTTACTTAAATTTTTGCTCAATTCATCATTGGTTAAACTGCACCGGAGGAATCAACCAGAACCAAAAGAACTAATTCCAAGTTTCCGCATGAAATCCAAAAAAATGAACAATTCATTTCACCTTGTATCAAATAATAAAGTGCAGTAAAAATACTTTCTAATGGTACTACTTAAAGGTGTTTAAAGAGACTATTTGTCGTCATCATCATCATCAAGTTAAAATGACAATATTTCATGTGTCACATGATCATTTTTTTTCTATTTAGGCTGTATGTAACATATAAATCAATGAGTTTTTGTTTCAATTAACGTTGTTTGTGGTAAACCATGAAGTATGATTTTTGATATATATATATATATATATATATATATATATATATATATATATATATATATATATATATATATATATATATATATATATATATATATATAGTTCTGTAGTTAATGGGTGAGCTGATAAGGAGAAAATGCTAATATAGATGATGATTTCTACCGATATCTCCCTTCGTATCGTTGTCTTATTATTACGTCTCTCTAGTGTTTTAGGGGATTTTTTATGATAAAAATATTTTCGGCGATAATCACTATTATTGATGACTATGAAAAGGATTTAGAATATATATAAATAAGGCTGTGTAGCAATATTGCTGCAGTACTAATATTAGAATACTGGTAATAAACCACAAAAAATGAAAAACCTAACTCGTTTGATGACATTTTGTTATGCTCGTCAATTGATATGCTTGAAACTATTACGAGTTCACCTTAGTCGGTAAACGAGAGCGAAGACAAATGATCCAGTGACACGATAGGCTACTCTAATCTGAGCATCCTAAGGCTCCACTTGGTAGAGCAAGAAGTATTGATATGGGGTAGAAAGTGTATTCTACAAGCACACAGAAAATATGAGGTACACAAGCACGCAAATCGAGTTTATTTATACAAACGTAGTGTACTAAAATAATGCATCAACCAATGAGAGTCGAGGACTTTCTGGATGGGAAATGTAATCTCAAGTTCAGTTGATCAGCCCATGCTCAAAAACATAAAATCCAAAATTAGAACCTTTATCAAGTAAGTTCTGGGGATCTAACGTCCCCAACATATTTGCTGTGAAATAGTTTTGATTGATGCAGATTGCTCATTGGCTGAAAGGCTACTTCTGAATCTCACAGTCCATTTTAATCTCTCTGTTTGCCCGTTCCCTAATTAGAGTTCTACGTTTTTGTTTTATAAACTATTATCGTTTTTACCGTTTGCGAATCCACCAATATATGAGTAAAACTTGCGTGTTTTGATTTTTAAATTAAGTATAACAAATTATAATAATATTATGAAGTGTTAAATTCATCTTATTTTCCTTCATTCAACCAAGTTAGTTGTATACTTTTGTTGTTTC